GACTACAGGCATGGGCCACATGCCCCAGCTAATTTTTTCTATGTATTTTTAGTTGGCCAATTAATTTTCTATTTTTAGTAGAGACAGGTCTCACTCTTGGTCAGCTGGTTTCAAACTCCTGACCTTGGACGATCCTCCCGCCTCAGCCTCTCAGAGTGCTAGGATTACAGGGTGAGCCACAGCCCTGGCTTGTTGCTATCTTTAATTCTCACAGCAACTCTGATGTGGCCATCTTGCCATCTGTAGATGGAAGACAGGAGGGGGAGTGATCAGCCCACAAGGACAGCAAAAGCCAAGCAGAATCGGGCTCAGTCAGTGCTCAACCCAGACCTCTTACTCCCAATACTGTTTAGTGCCAGTTCATGTTCACTGTTTTAAATAAAATCAGCATACAAGCGAAGGGATACTATGCAGCCAGAAAAAGAACAAGTGGCTTAGACAGGTGCAGTGGCTCACACCTGTATCCAGCACTTCAGCAGGCTGAGGTGGGAGGATTACTTGAGGCCAGGAGTTCAAGACCGCCTAGGCAATATAACAAGCGCCCCACCCTCACCCAGCTCTACAAAAAATAAAGAGTTGACTGGGTGTGGGTGACCCACACCTATAGTCCCAGCTACTCTGGAGGCTGAGGCAGGAGGATCGCTTGACCCAGGAATTCCAGGCTGCAGTGATACAGTGAGCTATAATAACATCACTGTACTCCAGCTTGGGCAACAACCTTGTCTCAAAAAAAGTGGCTCTGTTAATATTTAGATTGATGTAGAAAGATGCCAACAATATGGGAGAAACGCAAATTGCAGTCAGGTTCATATCCCATTTTGGTTAAAAAGTAAATATGGACTGGGCATGGTGGCTCACACCTGTAATCCTAGCATTCTGGGAGGCCAAGGCAGGCAGATTGAGCTCAGGAGTTTGAGACAGCCTTAGCAAGAGTTAGACCTTGTCTCTACTAAAAAAATAGAAATCTCTTTTTAATAGAAATCTATTTTTTATATATAATTAACCGGGCATGGTGGCGCATGCCTGTAGTCCCAGCTACTTGGGGAGCTGAGGCAGCAGGATTCGCTTGAGCCCAGGAGTTTGAGGTTGCTGTGAGCTAGGCTGACGCCACGGCACTCTATCCCAGGCAACAGAGTGAGACTCTGTCTCAACAACAAAAATAAATAAAGAATAATGAAATGAAATACGTGTTCATATATATAGCATAGGCGATAATGTGAAGGAATAGACCCCCAAACTCCTAGTGGTGGTTTGGGGAGATTGGACGGACAAAAGAGGTGCTCACTGTTCGGGTATTTTTTTTTTTTTTTGCAAATTTCTATTCTTTTCCGATTAACATGTATATACTTTCATAATAGAGAAAATACTAAAAATAATTTAAGATAAATGATTGTTAACAAAATGGTAACGTACACCGTTACCCCAGTTAAAGGGTGTGTGTGTATTACCACACAAAAATACCCCCTCCCTACCTGTGGTCACACGTGTGTTCACACGTGTGAGATGTGTCATTGGAGGGATACACACCAAAACAGTAACACGGTTGTACTCTCACGTGGTGGTATTAAGGGTATTAAAAAGTAATTTTCTGTGCTTCCAATCCTCTATGATGAGTATCGTTACTTTTACGCTTGGAAAAACATCTTCAAAGAACACACTTCGCTAAAGCAAATACTTTCCCTGATAGCTTAGTCCTGTTTTAGCCTCTGGAGAGGGGAAGAGAAGCACAGTGGGACCCGAGCCCTGATAAATGGATGGAAAGCACCCCCTCCCGGCCCCAGAGAAGCAGCGGAAGCGGCGACAGTAGGCGCAGAAGCAGCGCGGGAAGTTAGAGCTGTTGTCACCGCGTGGGCGTCCGTACTGCTGCACTCGGGCACCGGCCGGTCCCACGATCCATCTTTCTGACAGACTGCAGTAAATGATTTCAGGGGCAGATAACCCTAAAGAAGAATTCAGAAAACATTAATTTCCTTGTTTACATAAGAGAGTTACTCCCCAAAGCTGTGCGTCCCAGTGGCTCCTATGCTAGTGTCTCACACACGCTGCTGAGGGGGTGACAGTCACGGGACTGGTCTGTGTGCGCTCGTGTGCGACGTGCCGCTGCCGTGGTGGGTGTGCGCGTTTGCTGCCAACAGCCCTGCTCGCTGACTTCGCCAATGTGTGTGTCTCATCTTTCAACACGCACTGGCATTTTATGAATCAAACGTTGATTTGCAGTAATTTGTGATATGTTTTTGCTTTTCGCTGTAATCCAAGAACACGTAAGATTTCAAAGTCCTTGCTGACATTCCACCATTTTCTTGTATAAGAGGGCTGTGTCAAACATTTGGGGACAGCGGGCATGATCAGACGTGGATCGAGCGTGGCCACTGGCCAGAGAAAGGCTATCAGAAAACCCGCTGTCACTCTAGCCTGGGCAACAAAGCGAGACTCTGTCTCGAAAAAAAAAAAAAAAAAAAAAAAGAAAACCCGCTGTCTGGGCGTCGCCTGGCTGTTCTCCATCCGCCTTCACTGCCAGCTTCATTTACAGGGAAACGCTTTTGACTTGCTGAAATAACGTTTTTCTAAAATCAAACATTAAAAGGAAAGAAGATGGCTTTGGCAGAAGCTTTAATGCTTCAAAGGATGCCAGGATTTGTTTTTTTTTTTTTTTAATCAGAAACTGAACAAGTTTGCAGTCCAAGGAGGTGTGAAAAGAGCCTGCCCAGAAGTTTGCAAGGTGGGAAAAGTAAAGTGTCTCACTTTTTTTTTTTTTCCAGTTTTGACCCTCTGCAGGACTGGCGATTGCATAGCCAGCTATCGTTTCAATGTTATTGCTCTTTACCACAGGGATTCTGTGACAATTTTGAAGAACATAAAGAGGACGTGTTAATCTCTTACCTGTGCCCCTAAAGCAACATGCTAAGCATTTTTTAAAATTATACTCCTCCTCCCTTAACAGGTGATCACTATTTATAACTTTGCAGAATATACTCTTTCCCAGGGCTGTCTAATTTTTCTGGGCTCAGGACTTGTGTCATGGAGAGGCCCTTTGAGCAGGGGGAGGATCTTAATTTAATACAAGGGGCTATCACAGAGCACGTGCAAGAGGGATGGCAAACTCAGCTTTCTGTTGTTTCAGCTGCTTTGCAAAGAGTTGCTGTCAACGTGTGAACAAATAGAAAAGTTGCCATTTTAATCACCAGCTTCCAAAGCGCTTAAAAAATAAAAGGCAAGGAGTTGAGTCCACTCTCATTCTCCTACTGCAAGACCTTGTTACAGTGGTCCCTAGAAAAAGAAAAAGTAAAAAAATAAACATAAAAAGAGAATAAAATTCTCTATAGCCATTCCTCTTGTCCTCCACAACATTACTTCTTTGATTTTTATCGTTTAAGCATAGGCAAAAGAAACCACCATGGCTGGGTGCAGTCCCAGCACTCTGGGAGGCTGAGGTGGGAGGATCCCTTGAGCTTAGGAGTTCAAGACCAGCCTGAGCAAGAGTGAGACTCCATCTCTATTAAAAATAGAAAAACTAGGGCTGGCTGCAGTGGCTCACGCCTGTAATCCTAGCACTCTGGGAGGCCAAGGCGGGTGGATCGCTTAAGGTTAGGAGTTTGAAACCAGCCTGAGCAAGAGCGAGACCCGTCTCTACTAAAAAAATAGAAATTAATTGGCCAACTAAAAATATATATAGGCCAGGCATGATGGCTCACGCCTGTAATCCTAGCACTCTGGGAGGCTGAGGCAGGCAGATTGCTCGAGGTCAGGAGTTCAAAACCAGCCTGAGCAAGGGGAGCGAACCCCATCTCTATTATAAATAGAAAGAAATTATTGGCCAACTAATATATATAGAAAAAATTAGCCAGGCATGGTGGAGCATGCCTGTAGTCCCAGCTACTCGGGAGGCTGAGGCAGCAGGATCACTTGAGCCCAGGAGTTTGAGGTTGCTGTGAGCTAGGCTGACGCCACGGCATTCACTCTAGCCTGGGCAACAAAGCGAGACTCTGTCTCAAAAAAAAGAAAAACTAGCCGGGTGTGGTGGCTCGTGCCTGTAATCCCAGCTACTCGGAAGCTGAGGCAGGAGGATCGCTTGAGCCCAGGAGTTAGAGGTTGCTGTGAGCTAGGCTGCCACTACAGCACTCTAGCCCAGGTGACAGAGCAAGACTCTGTCTCAAAAAAAAAAAAAAGAAAAAAAGAAACCACTATGCTGACACATGGCTATTTCCCAATTTTACTTTCTCCTATCTGCTGACATAAATATGTATACATTTCAAAGCAATCGTGATTGTGGTGTTTATTAACTCACTTGCAGAAGCTCATAGCCAGTCTCACAGAAGATGGAGAAGTTGTCTTTCAGGACGTAGTTGGCTTGCACAGGTGAGATGTGGCCGTTAGGTGGCGCCGTCGGATAAGGGCACGGCTGGGCTGCGTGGAGGAGAGCGGGCTTACTGGCTGTGATGTGGGCTCCGGCGGCCAAGCCTGAATTTAGCAATCCAGAGCTCTTGGCTTATAAACGAAACAGGTGACATGTAAAGAGGGCTTGCCACAAAGGAGGTTGGGTTCTTAAGATTTGAAACAGCAGGCAAGATCAGACTCTCAGTTGCTTGTACAAATTAAGGTTTGTTGCATCCCCTGGGGCCCAGCCGAAGGCACGTGAGAAAGGCAGCCAGGCATGTGGCAAGGTGGTGCAGCCGCCACACATGGAGCGTCCGCGCCACGCCCGCAACTTCACGGGCGCTGCTCGAAGCAAGGGCGGGCGACTCTGAGGAAAGGAGCTGCGCTGCACAGGTTTAGATCACAGCTCCCCACTTCCCAGTAGTCGTCACCTTTCCGGGCCTCGTTTTGCCAACTGTAAGATGGGGTGATGATGGTAATAGCTGCTCCAGGGCGACCAGGGGGACTGTACGCAAAGCAGCTAGGATAGGGCAGTGCTTGGCTGAGGGGGAAAGTTACACCTCGAGGCAGCCCTGCAGGACGGCCGCCTTGGCACAGGGAGAAAACCCTGGCTCGGCCACTTCAAAGTGCTCAGGCAGGAAACTAAAGGTAGACTGACTCAGGGAGCCTTGGGCTTCCCCTCGTGAGCACCCACCCACGGTGCCCAGGCCGCCAGGGACACTGGCCCTCCAACCTGGCCTGCCCTCACCCCAAGATTTGAAGCCATCCCCACAGCTATCTGTCAGAACCCACCAATCGAGGGCTGAGTCCCCTCCTCCCTCTAGCAGCTGCTCTCTGGGCCCAAAGGTCGCGGGTAAGCTACTGGGGCGGCTGGGTGCACCTGACCCAGCCTGTGTCCTGGGGCGGTCCTCAGTCCCATGCAGGCCTGTCTCCAGGGACAGCCTTGGTGGCCCTGTGGGAGCCCAGGCCTTCTAGTGTTTGAAGGTCTGCTGGGAGGCGGAGGAGTTCTGGTGAGGCCTCAGAGGAGTTGGGAGCGCTGTGGGCAGTCCAGGGCAGCAGCATTTGCAGAACCCGGCTGCAGACTCCCAGAGCTGTGGCTCCAGTCCGTACCCTCCATGATCAGAAGCCCATCCGCCCCACTCCCAACGCATAGCTCATGCCCACACCTCACCGTCTATAGCTCGACTCCTGGAACAGTAGAGCTCTGGGCACATACTCCTCCCTCGCCTGGAACACCTTCCAACACATTTATCCTTTAAATCCAATCGTGATGTTTCCTGTTGCAGACTGACTTCCCCAACACCCAGCTCTTGCTGGGCCAGGTCCCTCCTCGGACTCTCACATTGCCCAGGGCTGGCTCTCAGACTGTGCTTGTTACGGGGCTCTGGTTATGTTGCTGTGACTGTATCCCCACTGGACTGAGAGTAGAGACTATGGGGACTGTGGCTTCTGCATTATGTGTCCCTGGCACTCATCCATAGGATTGGGAGGATGGATGGGTGGATGGAAGGATGGGTGGGTGAGTGGAAAGATGAGTGAGTGGGTGGGTGGATGGATGGATGAGTGGGTGGATGGGTGGATGCATCTATGGATGAGTGGAAGGATGGATGGATGGATGGAAGAATGGGTAAGCATAAGGATGGGTAGATGGAGGTAAGGTACAAATGGGTAGAAGGATGGGGGGGTAGATGGATGGATAGATGGTTGGGTGGAAGGATGAGTGGGTGGATAGATGGGTGGATGGGTGGGTGGATGGATGGGTGGGTGAGTAGAAGGGTGAGCTGGTGGATGGATCGATGGGTGAGTAGAAGGATGAGTGGGTGGATGGGTGGATGGATAGGTGGGTGGGTAGAAGGATGGGTGGAAAGATGAGTGGGTGGATGGATGGGTGGGTGGGTAGAAGGATGAGTAGGTGATGGATGGATGGATGAATGGGTGGAAGGATGGGTGGGTGGGTGGAAGGATAAGTAAATAGAAGGACTGGTAGGAAGAAGGAGGGGTTGGTGGATGGAAAGATGGGTGGAAGGAGGGATAGATAGTGGGTACTTCTCCTTAGAGGGCCATTGCCTTACAGACCACCCCACTCCAACCTGGTCTCCTTTCCCAGGCCTGACCCAGAAAGGGTCCCATCCCATGTAGCTCTTTTACACTCCAGAAGCGAATGTTCTGACCTTCCTGCCCGAATCTGAGACCCATCTACTCACCTGTGCTTGTGTAGTGGATCTTCCAGCCCGTGTGGTCCCCTGACTCATCAGTGACAAAGGTGATGGTCACAGTGTTGCTCTTCGTTTCAATTCTACGAGGCAACGTCTTCCCACAAAATGGGCCATATTCCTCTTTGTCTGTTTGAATCTGAAAAAGAAGAGGCCCCCAAAACCTCATCACCTGCTGCCAGGGGTCCTGCCTGGATTAGAGGGGAGCAACCCCCACCCCCAGCCATTCAGGGAGGACTGATAAGGCAGACCTGGGTCAAGGATGGAGGGTGACCCCACCGCCCAAAGGCCATGGCCTGGCTTGGACTCCATGGAGTCTGCAGAGGTGGGGGCCGCCCAGCTGGACGGGATGGCAGGGGCAGTGCTGCAGGCCAGGGGGCAGCTGGCTGAGGGAGAGGGTCCCGACAAGGTGAGGGCCCCGGGAACCAGACCTTGAGGGAGTCATAGGGGCACTGGGCTTCAGGGTGCGTCTCCACATCAAAGGGCTCCACGAAGTCCAGGACGACGCTGAACCCCTCCTCTAGGCGGATGTCGTAAGTGCAGCTGGAGAGTTTGGGGTACGGCTGTGGGTATTCGGGGCTGCTGAGCTCCCCAGACCGCTCCGTGGAGACCTGGCCTGAGCACAGGGCTGGGAGGAAGGGGACAGAGGACGGGATGCAGTGAGTCCTCACCCATCTGTCAGCCCTGACCACAGACAGCAGGGTTCTGCCTCTGGGGAGCAGGGCAAGGGACAAGGATGGACATGGCAGGGACATCTGTGACCCTGGGTCTGTCCAGCCCAGCCCGAGGCATCGGCATCGCCAGGAACAGAACACCCCACGGCTGGGGGATGGCTGGGGGATGGCTGGGGGATGGCTGGGGGAGGGCTGGGGGAGGGGCGTTCCTTGCTCTGGGGCTGTAGCTGAAACAGGCAGCACCTGGACGGAAGTTGGCCCGGCCCCGCTCACAGCCCCGGGGAGGGCGAGGCAGGAGCTGCCAGGCTCTGCCAGGGGAGGATGCACCGGAAATAGAAGGGAGGATTCAGGGAAAGGGCGAATCCCCCGGCCCAGAGGCCCTTTCCTCGTCCTCCAAACGCCCCACCCAGTTCCCACGTTTGTCCGCCAGGGCTCTCCCACCGCCCAGCTGGGACCAGCCCCCTCCCCCCACCCAGGGCCCAGGAACAGCCAGGAAGGGCCTGTCCTCCGGTCTGGGCTCTGCCCTGGGGGTGGTTTGGAGAAGTTCAAGTCCACAGTGACTAAGTCTGGCGCCCTCCTTCCTCACTGCCACAGCTGATTCTGCTTCGGCAAGATGCAGCGGATGCTCGGCCACTCACGGAAGGTCTGTCCCTGTTCCTGCTGCCCCGCCCCCCACCCCAGGCTGCAGGGCGGGAAGGGTGAGCTGAACGCAGCCACTGGAGCCCGGAGGCTTCTAGGAAGTGGGGAGTCCTTGGGGAGACCGTCGGACTGCCCCTCCCTAGCTCTCTCCACTCTGGCTCAGGCCGCCCAGGCCAGCACACAGGGGCCCTGAGCCACCCTCTGCTCAGGAGGCGGGCCAAGGGTGCTCCAAGCTCAGCCTCTGGGGACCCGGTGGGGCAAGAGCACGCAGTACCCCGGTCCCCTGTGAACTCAGGCAAGGCCCTGCCCCTCTCTGAAATCTTCTTAATAGGGCTGGAGAAAGCCCTTCTGGCCAAGGAGCCTGGGGCCTGTGAGGGCGCCTCCCACCACACTGGGGGTCCCCAGGCTGCAAGGAGGTGGGCAGAGAGGAAAGGCCCCGAGTGGGTGCACGCCACGCCCTCCCGCCCCAGAGACACGCTGCGGCAGGTGCGGGGAGCAGGTTTATTGTAGGGCTGTGGGGGCTGGGCAGGGCAGCCGGCTGCAGCGATCTCGGCCTGACCCAGAGTCAGGGCCCACGGGGCTCTGGCTGCCGACACCCGGGCAGGCCGGAGTGGAGGGGAGGCTAGAGGCTCTGCTCTGGAAGAGAGATCGGGAGGGGGAGAGACACCAATAGGGGAGACAGGGTCAGCACCAGGGTGGGGATCCCGTGGTGGCAGCCAAAGGGGTCAGCCTACAGCGAACCCTTTAGTTCTGTAGAGGGAGGGAGGGAGGTCAGAGAGCCAGGCGTGACCAGAGGAGCCGGCCTAGGTCCCCCACTCTCCCACCCCAGGGGCCGTGGCTGTCCCCCTACTGGACTGTGGCCCAAGTGACTGTAGTGGGAATGGTTCCCAGGGCCCAGATGGGGCCAGGCACGCAGTGGGGACTGACACAAGCTGCTGGAGTGAGGAGCTGGAGAGGAGAGCGAGCTGAGGATGGAGGACGGTGGGTGCGGGAGTGGGAGGGATTTGCAGTGGGAATTGGTGCAGGAGGGCGGGAGGTCAAAGGGGCAGGGTGAGGAGGGCCTAGAAGCGCCCAGCCCCCAGGGCCCAGGCCCTTCCGTGCTGCAGGGGGAGCAGCGATGGCCTTGAGGGGCCAGGTGCGTCCTGGCAGGGTGGCGCTGGGCGCAGGCTGGGGTCCCCCCTCCCTGCAGCCACGCTCACCTGAGCAGGTGCGCTTGTTCCGGTGGAGGACGTAGCCCGCGCGGCAGGAGCAGTAGAAGCCACCCAGGTGGTTGTGGCAGTGGTGGTCACAGGCAGGCGCCTCTCCCGGGGGCACCTGGCACTCGTCAATATCTGGGGGGAGGCGGGCCAGCAGGGGTCAGCTGGGAAGGAGGCGGGACAGTGCTCTGGCCTGGCCTTAGCCTTGGGAGACCAACACCTCAGTGGCTCCTGAGAGGCCTCCTTGTGTCTCAAGGTGGGGGCTGGCCCAGGGCCAAGTTCTTTACGGGCCTAGGGCCACTGCAGCCTGCCCGTGACGCTGGGAGGGAGACACAAGCACCATCCCTTCTAAACCACCGAGGGGCTCAGTGTCCTGCCCAAGGCCACCCAGCCAGTGACGGGCACAGCCAGCAGTCAAACCGCACTCCTGCCGCAGCCGCTTGCCCAAGGTCAGGCAGCTGGGGCCAGAATCTGAGATCCAGCCGGGCGCGGTGGCTCACGCCTGCTAGGCTCATCCTAGCACTCTGGGAGGCCGAGGCGGGAGGATTGCTCAGGGTCAGGAGTTTGAAACCAGCCTGAGCAAGAGCAAGACCCCGTCTCTACTAAAAATGGAAAGAAATTAATTGGCCAACTAATATATATAGAAAAAATTAGCCTGGCATGGTGGCACGTGCCTGTAGTCCCAGCTACTCAGGAGGCTGAGGCAGCAGGATGGCTTGAGCCCAGGAGTTTGAGGTTGCTGTGAGCTAGGCTGATGCCACGGCACTCACTGTAGCCTGGGCAACAAAGTGAGAGTCTGTCTCAAAAAGGAAAAAAAAAAAAAGAATCTGGGATCAACTCTGGGGGTGGTGCTCCTCCCCCCTCAGGGCCTCAGTCCCCAGCTGTGCATGGGCCCAGGGCCCAGCGTCGCCCTTGGGGACCACCATCCCTGGCTCACTCGGGGCTCAGCCCCGTGAGCGGAGGTAGCTGTTACTGGAGTTTGCACTGGGACGGCGTCAGGCTGTGGCCTGCTCTCTGCCCCAGGGGATGTGGAGACACGAAGGGCAGGCTGGCCCGGCCTAAGGCAGAGTCCCCACCACCCAGCTGTGGGCTGTGGACCGGCCGTCTCAGGGCCCTCGCTCAGCTCACCCTCCGCCGCGTAGAAGGCCTCGAAGCCCGTGAACGGTTTCTCATTGGAGTAGTCAGAGCGGAAGGTGACGTCCAGGTGGGGGCCCGGCGAGTAGAAGGTGTCGTTGCCAGGGGCCCGCTCGGTGTCTGTGCTCTCCTGCCCGCACAGCGTGGCCAGCACCTCGGTCCCCGCGCTCAGCTGTGGGGGCGGGGGTCACGGGGAGGGAAGGCCAGGCCCAGGCCTGCCCTCCCTCCTGGCCTGGGCCGCCCTGCTCCCGGGTGTCCCCCAGCCTTGGCCAGTCCTTGGGGACCCCCAGGCCATTCCCGCCCGGCCAGCACCTTGACGAAGTCGTACTCGCAGAGGTGGGAGAGCTCCAGGTCGAAGAGGGTGAAGTAGAGGCGCAGGCGGTAGCCGGGGGGAGCAGTCAGGGTCCAGCGCTGCTCCTGGTCATTGGGATACACCCCCGGGAAGCCCGGGGACACCAGGCGGCCGAACACGGGCTCAGGCCACTGTGGGCCCAAGGGGGAGGCGGCCGAGCCACACAGCAGGCCCAGGAGGACGAGCAGCCTGCGGGCAGGGCAGGGGCGGTGAGGGCCGAGGCCTGGTCTCCACTCCTCACCCCGCAGGGCAGCCGTGGGGGCGCCCACCCACCTCATGGTGAGCCGTCAGCTGGCCAGGCCTGGTCTGCGGCCCTCGCTGGCCTCACCTTTGGTCTGTTTGTCCAGCGACCTGGCCCTGCCCCCAGGCCCCTGCCCTGGGATTCCGGGAATGACCCCATGACGCCTGCCCGTGCGGAGTCCAGGCAGGGAGGGCAGGGCCTGCAGAGCTCCACCCAGACCTGTGTACCCTCCTCAGCATGGCCTCCGAGGCCGGCCTGGGTCTCCGTAACACTGTGACGGTGAGCACTGCTAGGCAGAGACAGAGCGTGAACACACGCACCTACGCCCTCCTCACACCGGGTGGCAGATAGGAAAGGAATTTCTGCAAACACAGGGTTCCGTGCGGCATGCGGGGGAGCAGGCAGCAGCATGTCCGGAGGCTGGAAGGACCGAAGGACGAGTGTGGAAATAATTGTCTAGAAAGCGCCTTCTGAGCTGGCAGTGGAGCCGGGAATCCGTGGCACCAGGTCCCTCGGGCAGTGCTGGAGAAACTGGCCAATCCCTGTCCCCATCCCTAGCCGAGGCTTGGGCACTTCTTGGAGGGAGTAACAGGGAGTGCCCAGGCCCAGCGAGGGAGTGGCAGGTAGAAACAGGCGTTGAGCAGACAGACCGGATGTGGAGAGCCCAGCCTGCCTCCATACTGCACTCCCAGAATCTGGGGCCACCCAGGTTTTCCCCTCTTTTGCAGGAAGCGTGACCAGCCCAGGAGGACAGACCGAGAGATACTGACCTTCCAGGCTCCCCAAGCAAATGCTGAGCCACCTCACTCACGGTGACAGGCAAGATGACAAGCCCTCCTTGTGCTCAGAGCTTCCAAGTGGCTTTCTGGCCCCTACTCTTCCATGTGAGCAGAATATTCAAGAAAACAGGAACAGAGAGAAGAAAATGTCCAAAACCAAAGCGAATCAATATCTTCAGAGGAAAAAGAGATGTAGGAACAGAAATGCTTAAAAAAGAGCATTCAGAAAACAACAACAACAACAAAAAACAGTTTTGGGAAATAAAAAGTCTGATAAAAATTTAAAAACTCAGTAAAATGTTTGGAAGATAAGATTGAAGAAATCTTCCAGACAATAGAGCAAAAAAGAAATAAAACATAGTAAAAAAAAAGAAAGAAAAGAAAGAAAAAAAAGAAAAAATGAGAAGGCCTGCACAGTATGTCAAAGATTGAATAACAGGAATTCCAGAGAAAGAAAAAGGAAGTAGAAGATGCTCAAGCAGGTTTGATGTAATAAAATAAAAAAAGAAAAGAAAAGAAAACAGAATGGAGGAGATTATAAAGAAAATAATGCCAAAAAAAGTCCCAGAACTGAAGAACATGATACTGAAAGTGTCTCCTAAGTGCCCCGGAAAATAGATGAACATGGACCTTTCCACGTGATATTTCAAAACACCGCAGAGAGAAATTATGTTCTACAAAGAGAAGGGAGAGAGAGAGAAAGAGAAGACAAACAGCAAAGGACATACAGGGGATCAAGAAGAAAAATTATTCTGGAGCTCTCAAAAGAACACTGGGAACTAGAAGGGTGTGTGGTGGCAGCCGCCAAGGTGGCCTGCAGTGAGTGGGTCCCCCCTGGGGTATTCGTCCCCTGCTGTGTCCCCCCAGACTGAATAGGGCTGTGGGCAGGATGTTGCTGAGGAGACAGGTGTTACTCTCTGTCCAGCCCATACGAGACCCTGCAGCTTCCAGCCAGCTCTCTCTGGGATCACTTGCTCTGGGGGAGCCTGCGCCATGTTGTGCGGGTGCTCAAGTGTCCCCCTGGAGAGATCCGGTGGGGAGGAGCTGAGCTGCCCAGCAGCAGCCAGTGCGGTTGGTGAGCCAGGTGGTGGAAGCACCTGGGAAGCAGATCTGCCCCAGCCAAGGCCTCAGGTGACGGCTTTGCCATCAATCAAGCTAGAATGTGGAAAATGAGACTTTTATACACGTCATATTTTTATAAATTTACCTTGTCTCCTTTCTCAGAATGCTACTTCAGGATGTGCTCCATCAAAACAAGGGAGTGAGCCTCTCCCCGTGGCTCATGCCTGTAACCCCAGCACTTTGGGAGGCCGAGGCTGGAGGATTGCTTCAGGCCAGCTTGGGCAACAAAGCAAGATCCTGTCTCTACAAATTTACAGAGTCTCACTTCTGTTGCCTGGGCTAGAGTGCCGTGGCATCAGCTTTCGCTCACAGCAACCTCAAACTCCTGGGCTCAAGGGATCCTCCTGCCTCAGCCTCCTGAGTAGCTGGGATTACAGGCATGCGCCACCATGCCCAGCTAATTTTTTAAAATATATATATGTATTTTTTTTGTCAATTAATTTCTTCCTAACTCATAGTAGAGACAGGGTCTCGCTCTCGCTCAGGCTGGTCTCGAACTCCTGACCTTGAGCAATCCACCCACCTCGACCTCCCAGAGTGCTGGGATTACAGGCGTGAGCCACCAAGCTCGGCCTCTACAAAAAATTTTTAAAAAATTAACCAGGCGTGATGGTGCGTGCCAGTTCCAGCTGCTCGGGAGGCTGAGACAGGAGGATCCCTTGAGTCCAGGAGTTCGAGGCTGCAGTGAGCTATGATGATGCTACTTGCTCTCTAGCCCAGGCAACAGAGCGAGACCCTGTCTCGGAAAACAAAACAAAACAAACAGAAAACAAAAGTAGACCCAGAAAAGGGAAGACGGGGGTTTCTAAGGGACAAGTGTTCAATAGGGACGTCCATTTGGGAAGTCAGAGGCTCTGGCCAGAGCCTCCCGCAAGGTGAAAAGGACAGAATGCCTGCTGGGTCTGCAGATGGTAAGAGGAGCTTTAGAGAACTGGCGAAAAGTCTGGGGCTAAATTAGTGGTACATTTATGGAAAACTAGGCAACTGAGAACAAACCAGAAGCCTTCCGGGCAAACAGGCAGCTGCGCAGAAGCTGTCAGAGCTGACTCCGTGCCCCAGCTGGGAAGGGGTTTGCCCCGTCCCGTCGTCATGAGCTGAGTCACAGCTCATCAAGACGGTGACTCGATGGCGCAGAGCGTGGTGCTGAGGGCCAAAGCCACAGACTAGGACGAAGGCTGACGAGCGTGTTACTGAGACAGGGAGTGACTGTTTTCTCCCACTGCACTTGCGCACGGCACCGAACACCTCTGTAACCACGCGCGTGGCGGCGTCCCCCACCCCCTGCATGCCAACGGGGTCCTCTGACCCCACTCGGTGTGGCGCTACCTGCCTGGAGATGGAGACCCCACAGGTGAGGCACAGTGCCCAAGACCAACCCACTTCAGAGGCCTGTCGCAAGAGTGGGTTGTCACCTATATTTCTGCCGACCTCCTATAGTTGGGGCTCCCGCTACCCCTCCTGGGTGTTGACTCATGTGCTCGGAGACGCTTACACTGACTGCTTTTCTGGAAGGGTGGCACAAGGGGGACCGAGGACAGCACAGGTGGGGCCTGTGGGAGGCACACGGAGCTTCCTCGCCCTCCCGGGGTGCCACCCTCCAGGAAAATGGAAGCCCGTGACATCTCACGGTTCAGTCCTCCCAGAGCTTCATCTCTGGAGGGTGGGGCTGAAAGCCACTGGGTCTTTCTGGCGGCCTGCCCCATCCTGAGGCTGTCTAGGGACCCTTCTCTAATCCTACCAGAATCACCTCGTTAGCATAAACTCAGGTGTTCTGGAGACAGTCCCACCAATCAGGAAATTCCAGGGGTTTTAGGAATGTGGCAGGAGCTGGGGACAGACACCAAATACATTTCTTCTCTCTCCTACAGAAGGTAAATGCCCAAATAATCCGCTTCAAGAGGGACGGGCAGCGGTGGGAACAGGCTATTTTTCTCCTAACAAGCCCCATGGAACTGTGACCCCTTAACCCAGGGGCATGAGGGGTTGTGATAGATACATGGAGTGAGAATAAACCTAGACAGCATCGACTTTACTCCCCATGTCGCCCGTGGGCCCTGCTCACGGGCCTCCCTGGGGTTTCTGGGACTTGTGGGACTCACCAAAGCTGCTTCTGCCTCAGTAGACCAGCCAGCACCGCGCGCACCCAGACCGGCGTCAGGGCTCATCCCTACCTGCCACTTGAGGCGTGCGGGTGGGGGGGCGGGGCGTGCTGCGTCTGCAGACACCTCCCACCTCCAGGTTAGGAGCTCCGTGTCGCAAACTGCCCCCAGCTGTTTCTGCAAACAGGGCTGCCCCCTCCCTGCCTGCTTCCGGACAGGCGACCCGATCATTGCCCGTGCTTCTAATTGAAGCTTTCTGACAGGTAGGCTCAGGGCTCCGTCTTAGATGGGGTGTGGCAGGAGCTGTGAGTGGCTCTAGGTCACAGAGCCCACAGCAGGCCGAGTTGAGATGTGGCCCAGGTCAGACTCCAGAGCCCCTGGGGAAAGGCTCTCAGACGTAGGGGTCACGGGGGGGGCCCCCACTTTCTCATTGCCTGCCTGGGTCTTGGTTGGTGAGTGTTGGTTGGAGAGGCCATCCCCACAGGGATGCAGGGACACCCCCCACCCAGGGTGCCCAAGCTGAGCTGCCAGGCCCAGGCTGGGGTGAGTAGGGTGGAGTGGCTGAGGCTGTATGTCACCGCACGTTTCAAGGCAGCCATTCTGCCGCAAGTCCCTTCCTCACAGGTGGTTCTGAAGATTAAGACACACAGTCCAGAGTTGGTGCGTGGCCCAGCCAGACTGCCTTTGACCGACAGCTGGCTCCACTAGGGAGCAGACGCCAGCGCCCCAGACCGTTTTTGGATTATCCCAGGGTTAGGGGCAGAGTGGACGTTGGTCAGAGGCCAGAACGTGCTCAGTCCGGGGAGCTTGCGGGGTGGGGCAGATCAGGCGGAGGCAGAGTTGGTGGCAAAGCTGGACCCTTGCTCCCCTCCCCCACTGTTCCGGACTCCCAGGATCACTCCAGGCTGAGTTGGGTCTCTAAGCTGGTTGCCCAGACTAGGGGGTGGGGGTCACTCCCATGTCCCCCTTCCTGCCCCTAAGCCCCCCAGGTCCACTCATTCTCTGGCCCAGCCCCTGCCCAGGGTGGGGAAAGGGGCTGATAACTCCAGCCCTTGTAAGGAGGGTCCTTTCCTGCTATTCTCCCTACAAGACTAGAAGTTTAGCCCTTCCCCAAACCAGGCCCTGGTGGTGGTCTCTTCCCAGAGACCCTGTCCTGGTGGTGGGAAGGGTGAGGTGCCTGGGTCACCAGAAGCTGGAAGTTCAGCACCTTGGAGAGGGGACAGCCCTGTGCCCATGGAGTCCCTGGTGAGGCCACCCAACTGCATTCTCAAACTCTCAACATGGTTGGCACGGTATTTTAGGAACTTGCCAGAAGGTACTGGAGAATGAGGGGGATGGGCAGGATGTGAACCAGGTCTGAATCCTGAGGAGTCAGGGCAGTCTGTCACCTGGGCCAGCGTTCAGCTCCCGCCCGACCTGACCATGCCCCAACCAGCCCCCTCCGGGGTCACCTCCAGCACCTGACTTAATCCCATGAGTGGCTCAACCTTCTGAGAACACTCCAGAGTGGCCCCAGGAGAAATTACAGCCCTCAGCAGCCCCACCAGGGTCTCTGCAACCCCCAGCCCTGGCCCTGTGAGACTGTCACTGCGGCCTTGGCCTTGAGAGGAGCTTGGTAAAGGAACGGCGCCGTCGGCTTGCCAGGACAGAGCTGGGTCCAGTTTGATGACTACCACGCCCCTCCTCTGTGCCACAGAGGTCAAGGGGTGGATCCAAGGTGACAAGGGAGGGCCCCACCTGTGCAGCTACAGCCTCACGACAGACACTGGAAGCCAGACACCAGGGCCCACGCAGACCCGCACCCAGGAGCACCAAGTGGCTGAGGTATCCTCTGGCCGGGCCCAGTCAAGGTCACGGGACACAGGGTTGCAAACTTTGTTATAAATACGCGTGTTTGGTGAGTTGAGGGGCGACAAAGGCAGAGAGACGGCGCTGTACACAGCTGGTATAGGCTTGGAGGCTGAATGCTCCAGAGAGACAGACAGTCCGCCCAGGGGGGCAGGCCGGGCAGCATTCCGGGGCCTGTAACACTTGGTTGGTGGGTGAGAGCCGGCAGGTCTGGTCCAGGCCTGGAGGGGCCCAGGCACCCTGGAGGCTCCCTGGTCCCGGGTCCTGGGCGGCGGCAACTCCCCGGCTCAGCTCACATCGTTCAGGGCCTGGTGGGATATGAGGCCAGTCAGAAGGCTGCTGTCTCGGGGTCCTGGGCCCCGCCACCCGCCCTGCAGGCCACTCACCTTGCGGGCAAACTCAGGCAGCACAAAGGCCGCCCGGTGCACGTCTGAGTTGTAGTATTTCAGCTGCATCTGCTCCACCTGCTTCTGTGTCAGTTGTTGCACGGGCTCCCGGAAGTTGGTGTTCTGGGGACCAAGGGCAGGAGCTCGTCAGGGAAGGGCTCTCCATACCCTGCCCATGCACCCCCATCCCGCACTGGCAGCCCCCAGCTCACCGGGTTTTTGCTGCACAGCATGAAGCCGATCTGGCCGCTGGGGTAGGTGGGGATGGTGCAGTAGGCGTAGCCCACCACCGGGAAGAGCGACTTGCAGAACTGCCGCATCTCCTTGATGAGGTCCAGGTGCAGCCACTGGCACTCGCCTGGTGGAGGGAAGGGACCCGGGCAGCATCAGCATCGGAAAGGGCGGGCAACACCTGACCCCCCTATCCTGTGACTGCTGGGGCCGCGGCTCACCCTGGCAGCAGAGGATGCCGTCCTCCTTGAGGGCTGTCTTCATGAGCTGGTAATAGGACTCCTTGAAGAGGCTTTCTGCCGGGCCTGCAGGGAGGGAGGGACAGAGAACGATGAACACACCCTGGCTGAGCCCTCAAGGGCCAACGTCAGCCCACTACTCAGACCCACACAGCTGCCCAGTGGCTGATTTGAACCCAGGTCTGGAATTCAGAAACTAACCAGAGGTGCGGGAATCCATTGCCCCAGGGTCTGAGGGGGCCCCACATTTTAACCGCATTCCTGGGGGGTTCTCATCTGCACCGCAGCACAGGAACCTCCACTCCAGGCCTTGGGTCACGACTAGAACCCACCTCCACGGAGGATGAAGAGGAGGAAACCAGGGCTGGGTGGGGCAGTGCCACACCCCCACTGCCTTCAGGTTCCCCCACTGTCCTGAGCCATGTTTGATGGGGAGGTAACAACTGAAGGGGAAAGTACAGCTCTAGTTTTTTATATTTTGGGGGTGGCGGCTGTCCTCCACCCCAGAAAACAGGCCTGGGGGAGACCTCCAGACTGCAGCTGCCAGAGGGCCCAGCGCCCATCTCTGCCTACCCATGGGGTCTGAGGAGTCGGTGATGATGACGTCAAAGGCATCCTGGTTCTGCTTCATGAACTCAAAACCATCACCCACGTGCAGGGTCAGCTTCGAGCTGGAGTAGCCAATGGCCATGCCCGGCAGGTACTTCTTGGAGACCTGGATGACATCCTGGAGGGCACACGGCGGACCAGGCTGGGCCACGGAGGCGGAGGGCTCTGGAGCCAGACAGTCACATGGAACCCCCCCCCCCGCCGTGCTGCCTACAGCTTGGTCATCTTGGGCAAACCCTTCCCTTTTAGAACCTCAGTTTGCACGTCTGTAAAATGGGGAGAACCCTGATACCTCAACTCACTGAGGGCTAGCTCCCACCCCTTGCTTGGGCTCATCCCCCAGCCCCTAAGACCAGACCACCCCATCTTGAGTGGCTTTCCTGCTGTTCCTTCTTTTGGAAGGATGCAATTCCAACATCTGGCCAGGACAACCTTCCCCTGCCTCCACACAGCCAGATGCTTCCAGAAGCCGCAGCTCAAATGCCACCTCCTTGAGGCCTACCCTGACCACCCTCCATGCTTCCGCTACACCCTGCCTTCTGTGTCTCCCACCCGTGTTGTGCCTTTATCAGATCATACTCTGATGTCTCCTCTAACTAGAACAACAGCTCTGAGGGGGCAGGGACCGGCCTGCCCACTACTGTACCTCAGCACCTGGAGCAGTACCTGGCACATAGTAGATGCTAACTAAAAACGTGCTGAGTGCAAAGGGTAGATGTAGTTAAGATATCCCTGAGCTCTGCCTGGGACTTAAAAATCAGCTTAGGCCGGGCGTGGTGGCTTACACCTGTAATCCTAGCAATCTGGAAGGCCATGGCAGGTGGATCCTTTGAGCTCAGGAGTTCGAGACCAGCCTGAGCAAGAGTGAGACCCCATCTCTACTAAAAATAGAAACAAATTAGTTGGCCAACTAAAAATATATAGAAAAAAATTAGCTGGGCATGGTGGCGCATGCCTGTAGTCCCAGCTACTCAGGAGGCTGAGGCAGGAGGATCCCTTGAGCCCAGGAGTTTGAGGTTGCTGTGAGCTAGGCTGACGCCACAGCACTCTAGCCCAGGCAACAGAAGTGAGACTCTGTCTCAAAAAAAAACACCAAAAAACAATCAGCTTAGTCCTACTAAGAACCAGTGTCCAAGGTGCCCTCACTATGTGCTGGGCCCTCTCCTACACAGTTTTCCTACGGACCCCTCCCAACATCTGTTTTCCAGATGGGGAAGCAGGCCCAGAAATGTTGAGCGCCCGGCCCAAGGGTGTGCAGCCAGTTCAGAGCAGAGTGGGCCAGCAGTGGAGGAACCAGGCCTCAGAGCAGACCTGCTGCTCCCGGCAGGCACTCACCTCGTCAATCTCACACTGGACCACGGACTCCACGGAGGGGTGCTTCACGACCTCCCGCAGGACGCCCCCGTCGCCACCCCCGATGATCAGCACCTGGGACAGGAGAGCAGTCAGCGGACCCAGCGTGCTGAGCCCATGAACTCACACAGAACCATCTGGAGCAAGGCTGTTTCTCAGCTCCTCGGACCTGCAACCTCACCACTTCTACTCTCAGAACCACTCCCCTGCCTCAGGAGCCTGGCACGGGGTGTCCCTTTTCCTGGAAGCTCCTCCCTGGGCTGGCCTATTAAGCTTCAGGCCTCCTGGGGACTGCTCCTCAAGACCAATGCATGTCAGTGTACAGGGTCCCCACCCTGGTCCCCTACTGATTCCCCTTGTCCTTGCTAGCACTTTCTCTGACAATCCTTTAGGCAGCAACTGCAGCACTGGGCTGAGGCTGAGGCACGCCTGGGACCTTGGGACACAGCTCAGGGCTGAGCCCTGGCAGGAGCGTGAGAATGGGTACCTTTCGTGGGCTGGGATGGCTGCAGAGAGGCAGGTTGGCGATCATCTCCTGGTAGGAGAACTCGTCCCTCTCCGTGCACTGGATAACGCCATCCAGCACCAGCACGTTGCCGTAGGTCTTACTGCGGGCGGGTGACAGTTGGGGACCTGGGTTCTCTGGGGTGGGAGGAACGTGTCCCAACCCGCCCGTGGCGAGGAGAGCCTCCCACACCCCGCCGGGGGGTCCCGGAATGGGGAGCAATGGTGACACGTGGCGAGGATGGCGGGCAGGCCCGCTGGGCGGGGGCTGGGGTTGGACTCGGGGTCTCCTCGGGCTCTGACGTGTCCCGGGACTGACACGTGGAGCTCGGCGCAGACTCCAGCGCCCTCCCCGCCCCAGAGGCCGCCCGAAGCGCGGCCCCCAGCCCAGTGAGACGGGATGCAGGGTGGGGAGGGACAGCGGCAGGGCACCGGCCTAGTTCGCGAGAACTTCTGACAGTTTCGCGGGTCGGCGGCGGCTCAGGGGGCGTGCGGAGGCAGGACAGGGGTCCGGACTGAAGCGCGGGTGTCTGGGCCGGAGTCAGGGCAGGCCGGGGCCGGCTGCGGACCCAGCTTGGACAGGCCCGTGCTGCGGGCGGCGGGCTGTCTGGGCGGAGCGCCGAGGGGGCCGGTGCCCGCGGGGCGGTGGTACCTGCGGAAGACGAGGATATCCTGGTACCGCGAGCGCTGGTGGTGGAGCAGCTGCTCCACCTGCAGCGACAAGGCCTGGCCGGGCCACAGGCTGCACGTCTCGCGGAACCAGCCCTCGCGGATGGCGGCGGGGCCGGAGGCGGCAGGGCCGTCGGGGCCGGGCTCCATGGCGTGCGGGCGGGCGGCGCGGGGCGCGGGCCCGGGACTGCAGGCCGCGCGGAGCCGCAGCACAACGGGACCAGCTCCGCCCGCCGCCCGCGCCGCAACCTAACCCGGCGGCGGGGCGGGGCCTGCCGGCGGGGGGGGGGCCCGAGCCCGCCAATGGCGGCGCGGCCGCGCTGAGCGCTCATTGGCCGCCGGCCGCAGCGCGGCGCCCAGTGGCTGGGGCGCGCCGTCCGTCGGCGGCAGCAGGGTAGTGCGGTCCGCCCCGGGGCCACGTGGGGCCAGGGCCGAGGCCAGGCAGCCCGGCCGGGGCCGCGGGGCGGGTTCCGGGGCGGGCCGGGCCGGCGGAAGGGGTCCGGGTCCCTCCTCCGGCCCCGAGCCGGCCCTGGCGGTGCAGCCCGGGCCTCCTGTCTCCTTCCTGCGGTCGGGAGGTACCGAGGGCCGCGGGACTCCGGCCCGGCGCGGAGTGTTGGAACGCCACGACGTGCGGACCGGACTGCCGCCTTAGGGCTGGGAGATGGGAGCCGGCAGCTGCAGTGTCGGGCGATGGTTACGCTGTCCGAGAGACACAGCGAGAGAATGTATCCCTCACTGCGTCCAAAATTTGGCTCCTTGTTGGACAGAATGTGTGGTTCGTCGGGACGTACTGAAGATTTTTATTTACTTAAAAGGGTCATCACAGCCCGCGAGATCTAACCAGCTGGATATTCGTTTTTTATGCTTCTTTTTATACATCATTCTAGAGTCCAAACTAACTAGCTGGATTTAGTCAGTTCCCTTAAGAGTCTGAGCCATGAGCCTATGGCTGCTGAATAAGAGAGAAGTGCTTTTCTAAACGAGCTTCTAAATTTACCAGCAGTGTCCAGGAAGAGGCCCAACACATGCATATTCAGCACCAGAAAAGACTGGCACGCAATTTTTTTTTTTTTTTTTAACAAACTGGGTCTTGTGCCTTGAAGGGTGGGCGGGAATGTGCTTTCTGTTTTTATGGAAATGTCAAGGAACTTCTCAGAATCACATTAAGCATGCTAATTACCAAATATTAAATGCTAATTGCTCTACATGCACTTTGGATGCCAAGGAAAGAAGATGAAACTGGTATAAGCTACTCGTGACATTATGTCAGGGATGTTTTTTGACTGACGTTTTGCAGCCTCCACCTGGAGGGGGGGAGCACGTTTCCTGTCTCTTAAGCTGAGCTGAGTAACAGACAACCTTGTTTATCAGAGAGAGCAAGCCTCAAGCCTTGGGACAGCCAATGTGCCTTCCTTGACTTTAAGTTCCTTTCAAAGGGGAGTATGCTGAGGCAGTTAAAGAATTGCTAGGCGACAGCTCCCACGGAGCTGTTCAGCACCTGAAATTATTCACAAAAGGAGACCATATACTGGGGAAGGCAGGGTCGTTAAGTATGTCCAGTTACTACAGGCTCAATGGGGTCCAGCCCTGTATTTGGGTCAAAATGTTCACCTACCAGCCTGTACTTCTCCAAGACATTTCTGACTCTGGGTTCTGGTCATCTGTTTAACTTCTGGTCATCTGTTTAACTTGTCTGTGTTCCTTGAGCCAGATGGAAGCTCCCTGAGGCTGGGATGGTGCCTGTAGGTGGCAGGCCCAGATGAGGCCAGGTGCCTTGTGGATCAGCTGTCTTGGCTGTCTTCTAGGAGGTGCATGGCTGACCCTAGACTGTGGCCCTGACATTCCAGAGCCCAGCATGGTGGGCAAGTGGAGGACCAAGTCCATCCCCTTCCTCCTATGAGTTGAACAGAGCTGCTCCAGCATGTGCGCCTCAAATGAGGAAGACTGTAATGACATCCTTTGCCCTCCTGTAAAAGAGGTAAAATCAAGGCTTCAGCCCCAAGCAGGAACAGCAAATGAGGTCTCCAGAACAGAGTGTACAGGATTGTTGGAATCTTCCAAGCACACAGAAGACAAAGGCCCTGAATAAGTTACAATCAAAAAAGTTCCCAAACATACAGCACCATGAGTCCAGAAATGTCACTCGACTTCAAGTCACAAGGAGGAAACAATGATTTCACCAGAAGTAGTCATTATTGCACAGCCCAGGTTAAATTGCAACTGATACTATAAATCAGGATGGAGAATACCACATTATAGCATGAACTGTTTCCCTAAATTCAGCCCAGCACACATTTAAAATTCAGTTGTAAAACATTACTGTCTGGTGGGTTGATTATCCCAGCCTCCTAAAAGTGTTGACAATTTATAAAAGGGGGAAGAGAGAGAGAGGGTAGAGGACAGAGGTAAGCCAATGGCTGCTGTCCAAAGCCTCGGTTTAAATGGGGGGTTGCCACGTGGTATGTGTCTCTGTCACGACACGCTTGTTAGGCAGTTAGCACTTGAGAGTCATTTTGAAGCACTGTGTTCTGCCAGGCAGACATGGTGGTTATGAGTGGTAACAGATTTGGCCATTATGTGCTGCTGCTTGGTTGAAGATGCGAATGGCAAGCTGCCTTAGGCACCACAGACAGCACTGTGCCTCCTTGAGCAAAAAAGAGCCCTTCTGCTCACAGATTCTCTCTCTGCCTCCAACCCTGTTGACCCTGCCAGATCCCTCGTCCCCTCTTCCAGAGCACAGGCCCAGGCATGGCCCTCCACACTGCAGCCCCCAAACAGTTCCTGACTGATTGACCTCCACACACCCTGCCGTCCTCCCTGGTTCTTCCCCAGGTTCTTTCCCGACGTTCTCCAAACTTCCCGAGGCCCTCATCTTCACCCACGGCTCAGGAGTTCTGGAATCTGGGTTCTGTGGACCAGTAAACTGTGAAAACGTATCTGGGGACTGACATTGGAATGTCAGCTTTTTATTTTGCAAGAAAAGACATTTACAAAGGCCTCAAACTCCTACTGCCTATGGTCCCTATCTTTAAAAAACAAACAGAAAAACATAAAGATAAAACTAGTAAGGAAAACCTGACGGAGAATCATTGAACCAATAGTGACCTGCTGTACCTGTTCAGCCAGGCCCGGGGCCTGAGGCTTCAGCTAACCATGGTGGTTCTCAAACTGCAGCGCAGAAGAATCACCTGGAGCAGGGTGAGCATGAGCCCTGGGCCACCTGCTCCCCCTGCCCGCCGCTGGGTTCTTTCCAACAAGCCCCCACTGGGCTCCTCAGAGGCCTCCACCTTGAGTAGCAGCCGGAACAGAGTTCTCCACACTCCTCTCCTTGCTCGTTGAGGTCCAGCCCAAATGCCCCTTTCACGAGGCCTCTCAGACCATTCTCAGTAGAAAATAATGTCTCACTTTAAAATATTTTCCTTCTTTGTCCAATATTTATAGCAGAGACTGCCACTTTTTGTCAGTAACTGCTATTTGAGCCTCAATGTTTGTTCTTTCAAAATTCCATAAAAGAACCCTTTTGTTTTAGCTGGACACATGGATGACTGAAATAATGATATTTCCCAGTACCCCTTGCTGTGGTCATGTAACTACGTACAGACCAATGGGAAGTGGAAATGGGCAGTAGTATCCTTGCAGACTGGAATGAGGATATAATGGCTGGAGCTAGGGCAGTCGCCCTGGACCATGAGATGGAAGCCCTGTGTTTTGAGTTGAAGATGGTAAAAAAAGAAACCAGATAAGCGCCTGTGTCTGATGATCTTGAGTCACCATACTAGCTCTAGACCGAATATTTACAGAAGAAAGAGAGAAAAAACATCTCTTGGTAAATTCCTGATAGTTTGGCTTTTCTGTCACTTTCAACCAGTTTAGTCATGTCTAATACGGAATGCAGCCCATCTTAGCATAGGGCTGTTCTCTGCTGTTCTCCTTAGCTGAGAGCCCTCCAATGACAGAGTGACGTGGGATTTAGCCTTGTATCCCCCAAAGGGTCTCGTACACAGTCAGTACCCTCAATAATTTGTGAGGAAATCCAAGGAAAAAAGGTTCCTAGCTTAATAATTTGTAAAAATAAAATAATGGTGACTTCACCTTTCAATAGGAGAAAAATTAAAAGAAAAAAATAAATAAAAATAATGGTATTCTGTGCTTTCTTAGTAGCCCATCTCAGGATTAAAATCAAATAGAATTCTAAACAAATAATCAGAGATTGGGTCACAAATTTATATAAGTTCATTGCTGTATTATTCAGAATAGTACAAAAATGGAAGACTTAATGTTTAATAATAGGGGTTGGCTAAAATAAATTTTAGAATAAGAAGTCTCATAATATGAACTTTAAAGATGAAAAACTATAGAAACCTAAACCCAAGTTTGTAAATTAACACACTGACTGCCAGAGTTGTATTTAACTCAGGCTAGTTTTGAGCCCAGAGCCTTGTGAAGCAAAACCTGCTGTTGGTTCGTGAAAATCTTACTTGTTGATGTTTACTGTTATAATTAATATTGACAACTGAATTCTAAAAGCGTGGATTGCGCTGCATGTAACTCATACATAAAACAATAAAAACTAATAAATTCAAAAGGATTGTTTTGTTTTAATAAAAGACTGTGGCCCCATTGTGGGACAGTCAATGTGTTAAAAAATATATCTAAATCTATGTACACATAGTAAAAAGCCTATAAGAAAATATACCAAAACGTTAAAGATTATCTCTGTGTAGGATTAAAGCTGATTAAAAATTTTTCTCTTTGCATTTTTCTATATTTTCCACATTTCCTACAATGAACATGTTATTACTACTATAATTAGGAAAAAAGTAAAGTTTTTTTTTTTTTAGGAACAAAAAGGAACAGAGAACAGGTCTTCCAGGAGCCACAGCTGGCTCCCAGACAGCTCACCCGTTCCTTTTCCCAACAGTATTTCTTAGCATTCGGCTTCACTCACATTATCTGACGGCTCACGCAGGCAGGAAAATGGCCCTAGAACCCTCTTAACACGGCATCAGGTGAGACCACACTCTGCCTTGTGGATGCTGCCCTTGTCTGGGTTACAAGAGGCTCTCCTGCATTCTTCTTCGGGAGTGGTTCTGGACTTCTCTAGAACGCACAGTACCTCTGAGGGCATACTTACCTCTGTCCACAGATGGCTGAAGATGGTAATCAGGACAGAGGGAGCTGTTCTCCCCTGCCAGAGTCGTGGTGGCAGCAAAAGAAAAGTCAGGAACCAGCTTTCTTCCAGTAAGAATTATTTTT